CATTCCTGTTGTTTGATGACCATTTTAGCCTCTTTCATGCTGCAATAATGAGTTTGAATAGCTTCATTAATAACAATTATTGTTTAGAGGGGCACACAGTTTAAACTGGATATCGAAATACTTTTTAACAGCTAGCATGGCAGGTTAGGATGTGTAATGTTAAAGAGGCATCTTCCTTTGATTGTAATCACCATTTAAGAAAAATCATCATCTAGGCAACTAAACATCAGCTGGTTTTGAGCTTTCTGCTACAAAGCACAGCAAGTGACCCAATGCAGCAGTCTGCAGTATATACAGATACAAAATTTGAATTTTGTACAGATACAGATTTCATATTATCTGAATTTGCTGGAAATCCACCATTTTAGCTGGAGGCAGTGAGGTATGTGGCACTCATCCTCTCTGGTAACGAGGCCTATTTATAGAAGTTTTTGCACAGGGGTCTTCAGTGTTTTGACTGATGTAAGACCCATCAGTCTATGGCTCCGGACGAGACCAAATTCACCAGGGCAATTAATTTCCACTGCTGTGTTTAGGCATACTCAAGAAGTGTTAGCAAATCAGAAAAATTGTTCAGATAGCCTTTCCCGAGGGGCTTTTAAACAATGTGCCAGCGACACATCCGTCTTCAAACAAAGGTGCAGCTGTCCTGCCGTGGGTGGGAGAGCACGTAGGAACTTGGGACTGAAGATTTCCTCGTTACTCGCCAGTATGACCAAACATTCATCTGCCAAGTGACAGAGAAGGAGCCACAGCTCATAGCCTGGAGCACCTCGTTAGGAGACTGCAAGTCCCACAGCAGCTGGAACATCGGATACAGCTGAAATTAGGAGCAGGACCCTCTAAGTTAACACCTCTGCACCAGGTGCAAGTGCACTCAGTGGGTGTCGAGTAGCCTGGTCCTCTGTGTATCATTTTGATGAGTTAAGGTTTGAGATCTCTTTTTTTTTAAAGAGGGATTTAAACTGTTTATATGCTGCAAGGAAGCTCATTCCTACAGGCAGCTTTCTGCAGTACTGAACAAACTCAGCTGTGCCTTTGAGAGGTGGGCAAATTTGGGGAGATTTATAAAGTCACGGTGTTTCCAGATGTCCTTCCATCTTTTAAAAAGGAGCTTTATAGCAGTTATTCTGTTACGTTTATAAAAGGAATCTATAGTTAGCAATATCTTATCTGTTACTAAAATTAGGCTCCACACTTGCATATGTAAAGACAGAGTCTCTAGGTGGGTTTTCTTATTTTAAAATTGAACAGAACAAACAGAATTTTGTTTTGCTCTCCACAGATAAGCTGATGTTATATTCATTAGCAACCAGAGAAGCTGCTTGTGTAGTTTTCCAAGTGCAGACCAGCCTGGATTAAGCATGTAGCTTCAGTCTGGGTACCTGTAAAGCCTCACTGGCCTTTTGCTGGAGGACATTCAGTAAACTTTATGGCTTTGTATGGGAGTTGGATAAGGATGACCTACAACTGTCACTGCACCAAGCTCCCCTAACATGCTCCACTTTCTACAAACTGCAGGGACAGATTCATCACTCATGATAGGTGCTAGCCAGGTTGGTTGAAGGGGAAGCCCCTGCAAGGGCATTCAGGTGCGTGAAGCACACGTCATCCTTTCCGCTGATGAACAATTGTTCCTGATACCACTGTGGTTTACCACCTGCCCTGCTTGCAGCTGCAGCATCTGCTTCCATCTCCCACGCACCATCCTCTCCCTTGCACGCAAGCAGGGCTACCCCAACAGCTTATTCATTGTTTTCCTTACTTTGCTATGGCATAACAGAGCTGGCTGCCAAGCCAGCAGCAGTCCTCTAGCCTTTTCATAAACTGCTGGATCTGATTTACAGAAACCCTGGCTCTTCCCTGCTGAAATCTTGGAGGATGTGCACCGCAGCTCCTTTCAGCTTGGGTACAATTCCCTTTTCTTGAGCCGTATCCCATGAATGTGCCTCTGTCTTGTGTGCCTCGCCAACAGCTTCTGCACAGCACAACGCTGGATGGATCTAGTTGTTCAGTGCCTTATCGCTGATGCAATCTTTTCCTCCTATGGAAAGTGAGAATGAAATTGCCTAAATTAAGCAATTGTAGTAGCCTTGAAGGATAAAGCTTCCTTTCTACTTTCTACTTTGAGCTGTAGTAAGACTGCCATAATTGTGTTTTTCTCCTGTGTTTACTGGCATAGGAAAGAATGAGTGATTGGGATTTTATGGTACTTACAGCTTGATGTTTTTCCCATGAACTATTCAAATTAGTTGCTCTTGGATTTTTAGCTCCTTCTTCCCACTTCTCTACGGCATTGGGGACAGTCAGAACAGAGAGAAAATACTCCCTTGAGCGTGGAGTTTAAGACCTGATGATCTTAGAGGGCAGACTCTGGTCAGCACTGGCGCATCATCATCTCGGCAGGTCCAAGATCCAGCCCTTTGGATGGTCTGTTGTCCCTTTTGGTTAGGAGAGAGCACAGCTGTGAAGAAGGAAAACATGTGAGTCACGATCGGAGGGCTGCAGGAGCTGCAGTCCTCCCTTCCTCCAGCCAAGCCCGGCCCTCTTCTTGTCAAAATATTCAGAGTTTAATTTTGGGAGGACAAAAGCTTTCAGATGCAACACTCCACCAGTTTCTCAGGTGGAATACTCCATTCTTTCATTGAAGCTGCCATCAGAGGATGTTCTCTTGGCAGTGAACAGCCTGACTTACAACTCTTTTACTGATATTTTAGCAACCTGGTTTGTGACTTGCTATTAAAAATGCTATAAATCATGGAGGTAGCAGTGAAGGTATGGTTGGGATTTTACTTGGCTGTTTTTCTCTTGTTTGATCATTGTATGAGCTTGAAGAAATTGTGTGATCTCTCTGGACCTCCAAATATCTGCAAAATGGGGATGGTATCTATAGAGTGGCACTGAGAGAGTGTTTACTGCACCTCATAACATACCTTCCTGAAGTAATTATTACACCCAGGGAAACTCCAAAAGGGCGAATTTTGACATTTGGGCTCTTAGCAGATCTGAAACCTCGTTGCCTGCCACGTAGATAAAATCTATACAGTGCTGTTTTCAAGCAGTAGCCAGGGTGAAGCATTGATGAAATTAATTGTAGGTTTCTGTAGCTTTCTTTTTTGTGTAAAGCGCATGGAGGAGACATTTCAGGCATTACTGTAGTGTTAATCCTTCGTGTTTCCCATAATCTGTATAATCCCTGTATTGCCCTTGGCATGTATGCAAGCCTCCTATAAAGCTTCTCTCTTTAGAAGTTTCATGAACAAGTCAAAAGAAGTGTCTTGCTTGACAGGCAAGGCTTGAGAACTTACTCTCTGACTCTTCACATAACAATTGTTTATATATATCAGTATCTTTTAAAGCAGCATACTTACCTTTGAGAGAATTAACATTCTTCTTCTTCTTCTTCCCTCCTTTCTTCCTAACGTGTGCACAACAGGACTTCAGCTGATCAAGGCTGCAAGTAGATAACCTTGAAGAGGGGACAATAAACCATCATGGCTTTGTTTTTCCCTTAAGATAATAATCCTCGCAATAATCCTGAAGCTCTGTTTCATAGCAAAGACACAGCACTTGAATTCCTGAAGTATTTCAGTGGTGGTTTTTCTTAATCAGGTTTGTCAAGCAACCTGATTGCTCTGGGGAGCTTTTCCACATTTTGAGGCAGAGGGACTGTTTCTCCCCAAATCATGACAAACTAGTTCTGCTGTGTAACTGCTGTTATACTGTCTTAATTAGCTGCGTTTTTGTGCGCTCTCATGTGAAGGAGAGTGTTGGCTGCAACTCTCTTGAAAGCCTTTAGCAGTTTGGAAAGAACAAATTGCCTGAGATGTAATTTCTGTTGTACTCTGTTATCCAGAGTTTCTCTGTTTCTCTGTACTCTGGTTATCCAGAGCTTGTAAGAGCAAACTAGCTCAGCCACTTCTCGGGTTTTTCCGTGCTGTGGTCTCATTTGTACAACAGTGTCCCCAGGCTACCACGTTGTTCTTGGGAAGAGCTACCATCTAGCAGCAGTAGCCGTGGACAATAACCAGATACTCCGGAGCTGTGGTTAAACATTCCTGAAATATTTAGGGAAAGCAGCATGATTTTGTCAGAAATTTTTGTGCTTAATTGGAATAAGCATGGTGTTTAACATTGTCCAGGTCTGTTTTATTGTATGCCCATGAAAAATCACCTTGATCATCAATTCCTTAATAAAACAAAGGAAATAAAAGATTGTTGGGGACCATTAACTCGGGGTTTAGTAATTTATCAAGGGTGTACAACATGCCGCAATCAGCTGACTATCATTATCTTAAATTCTTAATTCTTATCTTAACGAAGCAGAAGCTCCCAACTCTTGGCCCTGGTACATGCTGTCAAGGTCTTCCCATGTACCATCTTACATTGCTCATAGGTATAAAGGCAAGGGATGAGCTTTCATATGTTAATGACTGCCTTGTCAAAGTCTACCACAGACAAAGCTTGCTGCCGTAAAACTCTTACCTTATCATGTGCTCCATATTAACATTTGCTGGTGTTGGTTTAACTTATCAACTAGATGGGATGGCTTGTGATAGTTCATATGTGTAATGTGATAGTTCAACATTATGCTTCTAAATCTTAGTGAAAGCCCAAGGGCTTCAGATGTTCTGGTTTAGTAAATGATTTAAAAATATTACTGCTAGATGCACATGGAACAGGAAAATGGATCAAAAAAGGATGGTTATTTTTTAAAGGTTATTTATGGGTAAATACTTTTTGTTACTTTTTGTTTTCTTCAGATTTTCTCAAGCAGACCACGTATGAAGTCGAGGCGTTCTTAGAAGCCATTCAGTTCTTCCGACAGGAGAAAGGCCACTATGGGACATGGGAAATGATAACCGGCAATGAAAAAGAGGTAAAAGAATATCTTCCTGATTTTGTTTCAGCTTTGGATATGGCAGCTCTGAGGATAGTGAAGGTTATAAAGCTTCTTGGGAAAAAATGGCATTTTTAAAAAGAAAATCTAGTAGGTAGAAATACCCAAGATTTCAAGACACTTCTTACTGATAATGTAAGTGATTATACTTTTTTAATAAACCCATTTTGAGTTTTTTGCTAGAAAGTGAAAGAAAGCGTGCTGTGAACTAAAGTTGTTGTGTTGTGCTGGAATGTAGGGATGGCCGCATTTCCACAAAAAGCTCACACATCTACTTTAATTTTATGCCATGGGGTCAATTGGTGAATAAATGCTGTGTCTAAAACAAGGCACTTGCTAACATCTCGCTACCACGTTTGCTGCTGTTTATCGTTTTGGTAAATCAGTGAAACCAAAAGCAATACAAAACTCAGAAACCATGGTTTGTATGCAGCAGATACTCGCTGTCAGCTGCATTGGGCTGTGCTCTGTTTTTCTGCCTTTCATGACAGCTATTTTGCAGGTAAGAGATATTTTTTTCTTTTGTTGCTCCTACCTTTGTTACAGTTTCGTGTTGCTAATGCCTCCAGATGCCATCGTAGGAGATCAGGCTTTATGAAGAACAGAATAGCAGCTAAACAGAAATTTTGAAGAATCTCTTCATTTTGCTTTTCCCCGTTCTTTGGGAATGAAGCTTTTAGTCCTGAGCGGATAAACTAGTAGACCTACTTATTGTGCCAGACTTCTGAAACAGAGTCTTGCATAGTAACAGTCACACTTAAACACCAAAAATTTGTGTACTTCAGTTCTTCAGAAATGAGATGCTAAGCTCAGGGTCTGGGTCCATATTTGGGCACCTGAGTGAGCAGCTTTGGAGCACTGATGGTAGCTGAAGTAACTCCACCGATCCCTCTGGAATCACTCCGGATGTCTTTTAGTGCAATTGAGACATTATTTGGGCCCCGATTTATAATTTTTTTCCGCAGCACTGAGCACTCAGCAGCAAATATTTACTTTAGTACCAGCTGCTGGGTGTTTTCCTTGATGAAATCTGGCTTCCCTTTGGGAAAATGGAAAAAAGCCTGATGGAGAGTTCACGATGCAGGGTTTTGTTTTAAGAAACCAGGTTATTCATTTTAGGAGAAGTCTACCTCTGAAATGCTGAAAAATGTGGAAACTGGAGAAGAATCTATAAACAGTGTCTTTCCCAGTGCCATCATGTCAGGGATTGAAGTTTCCTGCTAACATCTGATAATAAATTCCTTAGTATAAGGAGTTCCATCCTTCCAGTGGAGGGAATGAGGGTTTTTCTCTTCTCCCCTCCTCCCGCAAGTTATGGAGCTATTGCTAGTTTCATTTTATGTTTTATTTTTCCTGTTGCTTGCCAACTACTTACTCATAACCCTTATACCTCGAGAGAACTGTAATCAGAAGACATCCAAACTAGTTACGCTATTATCTTCTTAGTAATAATTCATTCTGTAAGTATAGTGTGTTCTCATGCCTGCTTTGACCAAATATAATAATTATTTTAGGCAAATTTCCAAGCTAAGTGAATGGTTTGGAACAAGCAAGCTACAATTTGTTTCTGTAAAAATCTCTGCAGAATGCCAATAAATATATTCCCTCACATTCATGTATAATGACAGAGTCTCCGCAGCATTAGCTCACACGGTTCTGCCTCGGTACTGCAACATGGATGTAATATTAGCAAGTACCCAGTCACTCGCCTGAAGACCTACTAAATTTGTTTTGTGTCATAAAAGTTCCTTTTCCTGGTTTTGTTTTTCTTCTTTTTCATTTTTAAGGTTTCATTACTAACAAAGGATAAATTCAATTGTAGATGGTATTTCTGTAGGTTAAGTGCTGAAATACAGGGTTAAAACCAGGAAATTTTTGACAACACTTGTTATAAGCAACAGTACAGCCACAGAGTGAAATTACTACAGCACACTAATGTTATACTAGCATAACTCCATTCATCAGTACAACATGAATATAGAATAACATATTGGTAAATCAAGGATAGCTGAATAAGGGATTAAAACCCCCAAACCTCTACAGTGCACCTTTCAGTACAGAAATATAAAGCTGATCCAGCGTTCCTAAAAATGTTTCCAGAGAGCTCAGATTCTTCAGAATATATTCGATCTGTTGTCACATTTATTATTCCGTCTGTGGTGCTCCAGTTTGGGTTATTTGTGAGATTTTTTTTAAGTGACTCATTAGTTTAGGACCTGTCCATTGGTTTTGACAGGTATTTGAGTCAGCATAGCTGAATTTGAGTGGTGCTGCGGCATAATCTATAAGAATTTAAGTTATATGAAACAACAATAATAGGGTATTACATATTATAGGTATATTATAGGTATATTAATAAGTAGGGTATTGTGTGTTATATTTCTGTAGGGGCTGTCTTATGTCCAGGAGGTACTCTGTTTTATACTAGTGGCATGCAGTCAGAGCCCTTTCTTACTACTTTTGCTGTCTGAATTCCTGCCATTTCCCTATCGTGCTGTTGGTGCACCTTGGGACTCTTGATAGCAGTAAAGGAGGAGCACGTCCCCACACAAGGAGTGTTTCTTGTGTTCATAGAGCCCTTTGTTAAGTGTAACAGCTGGAGGAAGCAGTGTTGCTCGGACTTTAGTATCAACTGTATGTCTAAAACCCACTCGAGCAGCTGTAATACGTGAATGTCATGAAATGCTGGCACTCCAAGAATGATGAAAATACAAAATTGAGCAGTGTTTTTGCACTCTATTGGCTCAGCCAGCAGCTGGGTGCATCAGGGCAGTGATCCTTGAATGAGGACTGTGCTGGGCTGTTGTTGAAGCAAGGGAAAAAGCTGAGTTCAAATACGCATCACTTCGCAAAAACTCTGTTCAAGCCCCACTGGAGAGGAAGGAGGACTACATACTTTGTCTGTGAGACTTTACTGAAACTGCTGAGCAAGCTAGTAATCCTTCACCCAGATTAAATGAGGAATGCACAGAACCTTAAGGTGCATTTTGTCTTGCTTTTTTATAGGGTTACTATGTCTCTCTGTGATTTGCAGGATATCCACTGCATTTCAAAGCTCTCAGGGGACTGTGGACAACCATGTATGTGCTGTACAGTTAGGACAGATAAAAAGCCATGATGAAAGGGTTATGTGCCATTCTGTATAGCACATGCATAATAGTATTGCCTCTGTCATCATAAGTTGGCAGCTGTGCATCTCTAACTATGGGCCAGTACAAACATACCTGGGCAAGATCTATGAACAGAAAACGAACATGTCCAGAAATAAAAGATCTCCCTCCCTCCTCTGAATCATGAGGATGACTAATGACTGAACCAAATATGAGACTGAGGTATTTAGTTCAAAATGAAGATGCTTTAAGTAGAGAAATTCAAGAATCTAGCATATATCCCCAGCACTGATATATGCCTCCATAGGAAACGTGTGCAGAGACCTGAGATCACAAAGAAATAGGAATAGGGCAGGTCCTATGACGAACTGCCGCCCTCTGCTTGCATAGTTTGCCTTGTTGGCCGACAGCGAAAGGAAAGCACAGGAGAGAGGTCTTGCAGCTTTCTCAGGCCAGAGATACAGTGTCCATAAAGAAAAAAATGGAGAGGAAAGCCTAGACTCTCAAAATCAGATGTGTGCATGTAACTGTGTATTTATTGCCAATTTGGTGCATCTGAGTGGGATGGGCAAGGAAGAAGTTGTAGTTCAAATCTAGGCAGAGGAGGTGCAAAGCCTGACAGAGTGGGTGATTCTGAAGAAAACTTCCAAAATTGGTACCAGTGAATCAAACCAGGAATCTGTTTCACACCTTTTCATTCTTTCTGTATCAAAGAAGCCAGACTTTGATGCTTCTTCTGTACAAAGTTGGGTGACGCTATCAAGAGAACTACAGAACCCGAGAACAGTTCAGTTAAAAGGGGATCTCTGGTGTTTATCTGGCTCAATCCCCCACTCAAAGCAGAGCCAACTTTAGGGGCTTTGTGCAGTTGAGTTCTGAAGATATCCAAGGTTGGAGATTGCATGACTTGTTCCCATGACTGCCCTCATGGTGAAAAATATTTCTTAATCCCTGATTACTCTTTTCCCTTGTTGCTACTTGTAGCCATCACCTTCTTCCTTTCCCTGTGCATTTCCAAGAAAAGTCTGGCTCTGTCTGCCCAACATCTTCCATTATGTAGGCAGCAATAAGGTCTCCCCTGAGCCTTATCTTCTTATGGCTGAGCAAATCCGGTTCCCTCCACCTCACATGTCATGTGCTCCATCCCCTGACCATCCTGGTGGCCTCTGCTGGACTCACTCCAGTGTGTCAAGATCTGTCTTGTACCGGGGCGCCCAAGATTGGATGCTGCTCCAGATGCAGTGTGACAAGTGCTGAATAGAGGGGAATGTTCTCCTCCCTCGACCTACTGTTGCCCTTTGCTGCAAGGACACCCTGCAGACCAATGTCAAATTTCTTGTCCACCAGGATGCCCAAGTCCTTTTCTGCAAAACTGCTTTCCAGCCATTTGTTGCCAGCCTATACTGGTGCACAAGATTGTTCCATCCCAGATGTTGGACTATGCATTTGCTTTTGCTGAACTTCATGACGTTTTTGTCCACCCATTTCTTCAGCCCATCTAGGTCCCTCTGAATAGCAGCCTTGCCTGCCAGTGTATTGACCACTCCCCCAAATTGGTATCATCTGTATTCCCAGTCTGATGTCTTTTCTTTCTAATTGGAACCATCTGCAAGGCCGAATTGCCAGTTAGATGCTGGGATCAGAGAGGGTGATGCATCTCTTCTACAACCACTGAACCCTGTTTCAAAGTGAAAATGTTCTTGAGGGAGAAAAGTACTCAGTGTCAATTTAGAAAAATAAAGCAATGATAGACCAACAATATACTTACAGAAATAATAAAAAAATGGGGCAATGATACCTTTTCCTCAGTTTTCCTACATTCCATCACGAATGCTTGATGTGTAGAAGTCCCTTTGACACTTTTTTCCCGCCTGCCTTTCTGCTGTGGTGCACCTTTGTCACAGAGTATTTTCTTAGGTTATATATTTCATATGTTTTTTGTTCAATAATCTGGAGGTGTTGGGAGGAGACTTTAACATATATGAATTCTACAATGTGAAAGTTTTACTGGTTTTACACCACTATAGTTGTCTTTTAGTGACAAAAGTAATTGCTTGAAAAGTTTTTCACAAACTCCAACAGCTATTTATTTTATCCCTTTTGCCTCAGGATTAGGCTGGAGCTAATAAATCTTTTGGATCATGTTACACATTTTTGAAAAAAAATCAGAGTAGAATTATTTGATTCACAGATTACCCACATTTCTGGATTCCATTTCTGTCCTATATCCTGTTTTTCCTGGGATCTCCTTCTTTTCTTGTTTGAATTGTGAAGCTGGTGCTCATCTGAAAAAGTGCTAGAGATCCGTGTTGATACAGGCATACATTTCTTTTTTTGGCCAATTATCTTCCTATTAGAAGCATCCTTTGTCTGATGACTCTCTAGAACAATTTCTCCTTGATGATTCCTCCTCTGGGAGGGTGTGAGTGTCCCAGAACAAGGTCAGTTTGGGGAAGCAGCAGTCAGCAAACCAACTTTTCAAATGTTTTTGATCCGGTTGCTCAGCTGATATCAATCATTTTAGCTCTATTGATTTTCACATGGCAATTTCATAATAGCATGCAGTAAATGTTAATGGGCATCTTAGTTCATCTGTTGTCAATTGTTGCATGGTCTCTCAAAATCTTTCAGTGAAAAATGCTTCAGATGAAACGCATGGAGCTTCCCTCAGACATACCTAATATTGTAAATATAATCTTCCTGCCAACCTCGGATGGCTAAGCCATTGTATATTTGGGGTTGCCTGCATTTGCACATCATTCTGTGATGCGAATGCTCAGTTTTCAGATGAAGAACAGTGTGTGAACATGTAATTTTAATCTTCTGACCATATAGATCTTGAGCAACCTTGTGATGGAGGAACTCCTGCCTAACCTTCAGACAATGATCCTGCCCAAAATGAAAGGAAAGAGGAATGATAGGAAGCGGGCCTGGTTTGGTGTAAGTACTGATATTTGCAGAGTAGTTGTTTCTCATAGCAGTTGTCTGTGTGTGCTGATTCTGATCTATGCTTCTTAATTTAATTTGGGTTTAGATCGTAGAAGAAACATACGGCTTAGTCCAGCAGCAGGTATCAGAAGGATTAAGTACCTTGAAAGAAGAATGCAGAGATTTTGCAAAAACTCTTGAAGGAACCATTCGCTCAGACATGGATCAGATTCTGAACTCCAAGAACTTCTTAGCTGGAAAAATCAAAGGTTAGTGGAGGAACAGCTGTTTTTTGGAGCAATTTTTTTAATGTTTCCCATTGTGTTGCTCAAATTACCAGACGTCATTGTTTTGAAATTTTCATTTGTTTTGAAAAATCCAACTCAAGACACTAATTTTCAGAAAACAAATGCTTTGAGCCTCTGCTGCCTTTGATAGGAACTGATACCTATGGCCGCTGCGTCTGTGAAAATACCAGGTCTTCTCAAGTTGGAGCTAGAGCTGACAGGTTTTGAGTATCCTGATTAGAGGTGCTCATTCTGCTTTCATTTTCACTTGGACAGCCTTATGTAATGAAGATACAGGTCACATGACCATAATTAAAAGTGTGGTTTTGACCTGATGTCTAGGAATGCGCCACAAAAACAGTTCTGGTTATGTGACAAATTCATAGGCTACCAAAGAATACGTAATCCAAAGGGCTTCTTAGGTGGTTTTAAACTAATGTGAAGTAATTATAATTTTGCTATGGATATAAAAATGAGTGTAAAAAGCAGGCAAAACATTAGTGGATGTTGCTTAAGCTAGCAAATAAATAAATAGCTGATAATTTAGGACCTGTTTTGATAAAAATAAGGATGGTCTGTTGATATTCTCACATACCAGACTAGGATGCTTTCAGTGAACTGTAGAGTACCAAGTTCGGATAACTCCTTATAGAGTCACTGTGGCCACGCTCTGTGCAAACCTCCCAGTTTGTATCAATACTGACAGCTGCTCTTTCCTCTGCTCTCACAGTGCCCCAAGCTGCTAGCGTTTGGTTAGGTGGGGCATGGGAAAAGCTGTTTCTTTGTCACTCATAAAACTATAAATTCGCATCACCTTCATCATCTTTGCAGAGGTGTGACTCCAGGGAAAAAATACAGAGTCTTTTAATTCATTGTAAAGTAGATCAGTTCAGATTACTTTTTTCACTATGTCTCTTAGTAGCCTAAATGTAACCATTGTATTGTCTGGCACTCCAGCCACTGTTTCTGAGCCTGCCCAGAAATGCTGCACAGAAAATATCCAGCCATTTCTTGCATCCATATTGGAGGAGCTCATGGGTCCGGTGAGTTCTGGATTCACGGAAGTCCGCTCACTTTTTGATAAAGAAGTTAATGAAATCATCCAGGACTTCCAGAAGACAAATGATATCATGAAGCTAAAGGAGGTAAGACAAAAATATATCTGGAGCCTTTTACATTATCACAAGGACAAGCAGTATTTGCTTTCCCAGGTGGTAGTATGTTAGTGCTTAGTTTTGTCACTTAGAAAGTCTTGCGGTATTTGTGGAACTAGAGTGTAGATACAAGAATTTGTTTTAGGGCCACTGTTACATTCTCTATTAAAAATTTGCCTCTGGTTGCTTTCTCTCGAAACCTGTTCTTCTTCCACTGGAACACAGAATGTGGATCAGCTTATGAACCTACCATTCAACTCTGTGAAAATGGAGCCCTGCTATCTGAAAGTGAACCTCCTCCAGGAGCTCCTTCAAGACCTCAAGAGTCGCTTCAAGGTCTATCACATTGATTTTGTGATTCAGAGGACACAGAACTTCATGCAAGAGGTACTGTAAGATCCAGTTTTTCCTCCTGGGAGAACAGGTTAGGTTTGTCCTTCTAATCTACTTCAAAGTAATCTTGATAAAAAGCTGCACAAGAGTCCTAGAATATATCTCAATCAAAGTACAGGTAACAAAACCTAAGAAAATCACAGCTAGAAGCTGTTTCACGTTTATATTTGTGAGGCTGGATGCGTCTTTCAGTAAGGCACAACAATTTTGGATGGATCATCTCTTCCCCTGAACCGTGACGTTCTGATTTCTCAGCGTCTCAGCACCTGAGAAGGTTGTGCTTGTACCAACGAGGTTGCTAAAATCTACCTGATTTCCATTCTCAAGGGTTGATTTTTCAGGAAGGATCTTAAATATATTTTACCAAAATGGTACGTCTCCTCCTTGATAGTTTATTTTCTCATTAATATAAAGTAAGGCAATTAATGTTAAAAACTGGCAATTACTTGGACACAGATGATGTCTCAGGATGTAGCTGCATGTAGGTGCTTTAACCAACTTCACTTCTCAAGGGAATGGTTGAAGTGACTACATCATTTCAGATGAAAAATGAACTCCACCTCTTTTCCCCCTCTAGTGTGTATTGGTATAGGCTATAATTTTGCTTTGCTTTTATTTCTTCTGGATGCCTGGCCAGAAATCTGTTAGGAGCTGGCCAGTAGATTCGTCTGACTGCCAAATCACAAGGCAGATTTGGCCTTGTAGCTCTGTGTTGAATCCTGTGATTTTAATCCATAGTTGAGAAACTAAATAATCTAGCTGGTAATCTTGTGAGATGGAGCTGGTCCAGTTCTGTGGAGTGGGAGTTATGAATATGGAAAGTGAGTCTCTAGCACAGTGCTGGGCTAGGGTTTTCCTAAAAGCAGCTCTTCTAAGTACAGCTATGATCAGCAGCCAAAGAATTATTCAGAAATAAAATTCTGATTTCATAGAATCATAGAATCATAGAATAGTTTGGGTTGGAAGGGACCT